GCCCTGGCTGCAGCCTCTGCTACAAATGTTCTTAACATTTCAACCATTACTGTTATACCATCATTATTTACTAAAGACAAAAGAAAAAATAKAAAAAGATCATAAGTGTTTTGTCTGTCAACATCATTATTGCCAGGTGAGTGTCCACATGCAGCCATAGAGGCTGAGCTTGCATTATTTGAAATGTTTCGAATTGTTATCAATGTTCATGAGCTAATATCTGAAACAGTCCYTTGTTAATAATTTGTTGAACTACCTTTGGTTTTCTGCTGGTCCTTGAAAGATTGCTGTAAAAGTTTGTGAATTGTTCCCTGATAAGAAACCAATAGGACATTACATATCTTATGGATAAATAACTCTTTCATTTAGTGGTCAACCACCATCTCTTGCAAGCTGCTGTTTTCATTTGAAAATATAAACACTCGTAAAAATAATCGTAAAATAAGCAAAAATTGTACTTTTCATTATTAATATTATTATGTTAAGGTTTTTCTTGGCTCTCTATATAACAGGTGACCCAAAGAAACAAAAAACATACATATACATTCCATAGTRGCTTGGTGCCTCGCCAGCTCGCCAGTGGGRCTTTTAAAGAACAAAGAATGAATTCATAATGTCTGTAGTGTAAATATGTTTTAGTGGCTCGCTGGCTCGCCAGTGGGACAGTGGGTACTGAGGATGCTCATCTGAAATTTTCAAAAAGACCCCTAAAAGATCCTGGAAGTTTTGAAAAACGGTCRTGGCTGACTGATTTTTAATCCCTTAGAGATTGCACAACAAATATTGTTAAATTAAATCAGTATTATACATTTTATCATTGGAACTAATTAAAATGACAAAACAAAACACAGAGGAAAATCAATATCGATGCGCTCTTCCTCTTCTTTTCTGACACCCTAAGAGATTGCAGAAAATGYAAATTTCCAGAAACTCCATGTTGGCAACCTAAAAGATTCCCAATCACAAATTTTTACCACTAAGAGATCTGACAAGCATCCCTGGTACTTTTGCCCCAGAGTTCCCCCCATAATGTCTCCCATAATGTCTGTAGTAGTGGCTTGGTGGTACTTTTACCCTGGAGTTCCCCCCATAATGTCTGTAGTAGTGGCTCAGGGGTACTTTTACCCCGGAGTGCTCCCCATAATGTCTGTAGTAGTGGCTCGGTGTGTGAATAGTTGAGTTTCGCGATCTCTTTTACACTGTGTTAGCCTCAATTGTGTGCTAAAATAATCAGAAATGTAGATAAAACTCGTGAGATTTCAAACTATTTCCATTGTCTTCTATACTCACAGATCTCTTGCATTTGCACGGGCTGTTAATTTTTTTTGTTCAAACTATTTCCATTCTTCTATACTCACAGATCTCTTGCATTTGCACGGGCTGTTGTGAATAAAAGAATTTATTACATGATTTGAGGCTAACACAGCRTAAAAGAGATCACTAAAAGGATTTATTATAAACACAGTTTTTATTGGTCCCCACCCATAATTCTTTAAACTAGTTGTTTAGCATTTAAAAAATGATCTGAGATACTAACAAAACATTTTATGTAATCTAAAACGACTTGTTATGCGGTACATAATTGATTCAAACTAAGTTCCAAGTCTCCAGTTAAAAGATAAAAAGTCAATTTTGCTGGTATTGATAATGCAGAATTTTATTTTTTCCCCCCTTTTTATGAACACAAAAATGTTTAGTCCGCCCCTCATTTCCACAGCCCCTCCAACCCTGTAAATATCTGTTAGGTCCCCAAAGAACGAAGAATGAATTTATAATTTCTCTAGCAGTATAAGCTTACTTTGGTGGTTTGACAGATATCTTCAAAATTGGCCCTGGATTCTGTAGCCTAGCCGCTCCAGGGATCTTTTTCATACTATTAGTAAGACTTAAGCTTAAGTCATTTAGAAAAAAAACTAAAACTATAAGCTAAAACTGGCTCTCAACAAGCTTAAATCTGCTATTTTTGTATATATTTTTTGAATGGCGAATCAGRAGAAAAAAGGCCGCAGACGAATTATATTTCACTCTGGTAATTCATTCAAAAATCAGGTCCCATTTCCTAGTAAATATACCAAAAAACACTAAGAGTTTTCTATTGCCACTGAAGAGACTAAAGACGCTCCAAGACCCCTGGGTTAAAGTTGACAGCCTTGGAAAAAAGTCTACATATCTAATTTCATGTAGTTTATACTTCAGTCTTACTGGCTTGAATGTTGCTTTTCTATTTTCCATCTTTCATTGAATTCAGCACAGATTCCATAATCCAAACATCGGCGCCATCTTTGTTATCGTWTTTTCCCGCCAAAATTTTATAAGAATTAGATACCAGGCTTCGATAAGTCGAACAGCCGCGCATTGGAAAATTTTGATATTCGTCCCAATTTTCTTGAGTAAAATTCTGTAAATGGGATTCAACATTTTAAAATTCTATGGCTGAAAGTTTATTCTTGTAGGTGCATTAATTTTTTTTTCACATTTGTTAATTTTACATTTTTGATTATCAAGAAATGCAGGAGAATGGGAACGAATCACTTCCTCCCAGTGTCCGTTGCATTCATTCATACGGACCCAGAATGTGTAGTGTGCCGGATGTCGTGATGTTATTCGTATGAATTCCTTGACTGCGATAGAAGAGTTTGATGAGAACAAACATGATTTGCATTTAGTATCTTCTTAGAATTGAAATGCTGTGTTTACGTCGGTTTCTGGTCGTGGATGCCTTTCAGGTTTATAAGCTTGGTGGAATACGCAAAAGATTTCAATCTGTGATCCACCAAGGTGTCAAACAAGATGTTACTGTATATATTCATGTAGGTGAAGTTATGCTAGCTAGTTTAGAAAAACATAGAGGGTGGGGGGTATTTCCTGGGGGACCATACAATAGATTAGATTATTATAAGGTCTTGATACTAAAATTGTCATGAGGGGGTCCTGAATCCGCAATACCGCAGAAAAATTTTGGAAATCCCTGACCAGAAATCCCGCGGCCCGCAATTTTTTTTTTACAATTTTTTTTTCAACGAATTGTAAATATCGTATATGAAAGCCATGAAATGCATGTTTATTAGCCGTGAAAACAAAAAATCTAACCATTTTATCAACATAGATTGCCATTTTTTAAAGGGACACTGTCAATGGCACGCATGCGTGAGTATAGTAGTAATGTTTTCAAGTTTACGACTCCAAGTTGGCGCGACGCATGACAAAAAAAGTACTTGTAAACGTAAACAGATCTAGAATATTACAAAGTGTGTCAAAACATTGATTTACCTCGAAAGTAATACTTTCAAAGTCCATTAGAGGCAAGACTGTTATTGCATGTCATCTATTGATAGTGTCCCTTTAAGTGCGACTTACTTTCTACCAGACATCTAAACTCAAGGCTGTAGCTAATAAGAGGCCAACCGAGCTACTCACCTTGGAAAAATTTTGCCAATGCTTTTTGCTTTTCATCAGTGATATCAACTTAGCCTCTCAGAGCGGACATACGACTGATTTTGTGCAAAAAAATATAAAAATGATATTAAGCTATTGTACTAGTTATAGCTTCTTTGTTTAAATATKGAATGATAAATTCCCCACAAAAAGCTACAAATCACTGAAGTGAAGAGACTGAATTTCAAATTTTACCTGGGGAGGAGAGTAGGGAGGGGGGGGGGGAATGCTCAAAAACGGTCAACAATAATACCGCAAACCCCAAAGTCTCCCTCGGTCATCACATTATAAAGCATAAACATTGTAATGAAAATGGAAAAAAACCTATGCTTATGGCACTGTTTGCACCCAGGTCACTGCCSAGGCCTGGCTCTAAATTGGTGCAAGACTTTGTATCCAGGCAATGAACCACAGTGTTTCGGTATCTTGAATGATGCCTTTTGTGCTGGTGCCTAAGCACATGTAGGTGCTGAAGTATGAACRATACATTTGTTTATGCTTTCATGTTTTTTAAAAGAAAAAAGGGTAACAAAATGGCTGTTTACTTTGAAAATGAAGCTCAAAATATTTTGACTAATTGTTRTAAGATCAAGAAAACCAAGTCAGAGACAAATGATTATTTGTAATGYTTAACCATGGTTGGTTATGCAAGGGATTACACCATAGAGAGATTTTGCACAGATTTTATTATTTGTTTTATTTTTATTTTATTTATTTATTMATTATTTTATAGTATTATTTTCTGTGTGAAATGACTACTCATTGATATAAGAATTGTGCRAACGTTTCGAAACTTGGGGTGAAACRACTTGGGCTAACAGTCTTTTATGCGAAATAACYGGATACCATTTTATCTGGGTAAAGAAATAGATTTATACAGGGTTAATGCTAATTACCCTTTGTATGGTGTACTGTTACATGTAGTATGTTCTGTATAACCTAGTAGACGGCTCCATTCCCTTACCAACACAGCAGTTATGGTATGGTTGTCCAATAAGATAAATTTTGGATGGGGCCAGTGATGGTGACTCCCTCAATAAATGTGGACCTATAGGTCCCTATAGAAATATAAGAACATTGAAATGTTATCAAATAGGCTATTTCTATTCCTCTTATAGTGGCCATTTTGCAAGAAAATCTGTACTTTTTGTAACTTCAATAAATATGTAAGTTAGGTAAAGTTTTTTTTGCATTTAGAAAACCTTCAAGGAATAATCATGTAAAAGGGTTGTATTCTGCTTCCTAGAGATAATGTTAATCACGAGAGGATGACAGACTGTCTTGTTAAAGAGTTGAGAACTATCCTATTATTGATTGGGGCTTCTAGAGTCAAGTCTGTCTACTTTGGTGGAGGTACATATTCTGATTG